CCTGGCAAAAGAGATATATTCTCAAGGCTATCATGGAGCAACTGCAATTGCATAAATACAGACTGGATTAACACTGTTTTTATTTAATCCATTAAATTATATAAAATGGAATTGGACTACTGCAAACTGCCTCTAAAGCAAGCAAGCATGTAATCACGTACTTACCATTAGTTACCAAGACCCCATCAAAAACAACAATCTGGTGCTGAGTCTAATAGTGGTCTTTTGAAGCCATTTTCTCCTTCATAGCTCATTCATTAGTCAGCCTCCAATGGTTATCAGCAGTGCTTTTTTTGTAAAAAAAAAAAAAAAAAAAAAGGTGCCAGAATTCACATGTCATACAACCCGCCTTGCCTGCCCTACAAGGTTCCATCCAAAAAAGGTGCCGGAACTCTGTTCTGGGCGTTCTATGAGAAAAAAAGCCCTGATTATTAGAGACGGAATATCTTCACTGCCGCGCCATGAAATTCTTCAAAACTCCATCTGCCCAACTAAACCAACAGCAGCAAGCACATGACTGGAGTCCTCCACTGAATTTGGCCTGAGTGGAGAATTCAAAAGATAACATCCAAGTGCTAGCTAGAGCAAGAGATCTTCCAATCAGAGCCATTAAAACAGAAAGAACACCTGAGCTGCTTCTGCCAAGAACAACACATTTCGCTTCAAACTTGTAACAAAACAGACCCGCTTTGATCTGTCTCTTAAACAGAATTTCTACAGCATCCATGTTTGGGCATGAACTTCTCCAAAATAGGGATTCCATGTACAGAAAGATTTATGGGAAGGGATATTTTGTACATCCTTAATAAATTATATCTCCCGGTTCCAAGAAAAAGCAGTAGGCAATAGCATTTGACAATTCACCGCAAATATATATCTCGACAGATTTTTTAAAATATATCATTGTGTTTTAGCATCACTCTAACCCTCTTTTACGCCTATTAATAGATAAGGCCATTGTTGAATCCACTGTGTTCTCAACTTTCCAAAAAGAGAAGAGCCTGTAGAACTATCTCGTACTGAATGGGAATGTGAAATAACTGAAAATGAAGGACTGTATAGGTAGCTGGTTGAATAAATGCTGGCACATGAGCAATGAAATGGGGAAGGCTAGAAATACATGAACAGAAAACCCTTAAAACATTTTTCTAAAGCAGCCACATGTTTGAAAACAACAGTTGCTTTCAGTTTCTTCTATTCTAAAACAGAGCAGCTCCCACTGTTTTCCTGATTACATAAAGCAAAAATAATTTGCTGTTTGCCCCTATGAGTGCCAAATCAGTAAATTAAATTAAATTAAATCAAATCAGGAAATTAAATTTTCAGAAATACTGGCTTCAGTATAGTTATGCTAAATAAATGGTGCTGATAGGATCAATAACATGAAACAAAACTACTCTTAGAGAGTAGCATTTTGTGTGCTTTGCTTTGCTTTATTCTTTCTTGTCACTCAAAAATGGGGTTTTTTTTTTGCAGCCATCTCTGCTTTGTAAGTAGGAAGAGCCACTTAACTGTAGCTGGTACAATGTTTTAAGAAATCACATCTGTTCTAAATAAAACAGAAAAAAAGGATATAGATATAGATACACAGACAGACAGACACATGAACCAAAGAGATATTAGGATATGACTTTTCATTAATATTGAACCTAGCGGCTTCACTGTTCTGTAATATAGTAATGTTTTTCTTGCCAATACACAGAGGTGAAATTATAACTTATATATTTTGGCTGTGCGTATTATAGAAGTGGCGGGGGGGGGGGGGAAACCATAGAGAAGGATGCCATCAGCTACTCCATTTGAGAAAGTGACAGATCTTGCTGTAATCTGCAGCCCCCCCCCCTTTCCTACTATCTCAGTATCATGCATTTGAATGACACTCAAGTTGTGAATATCAGAATTGTTGTTATAGCAGTAGTGAGACCATCCTAACAGGGTTAGACTGTTATCAGCTGCAAGAGTTCTGGCAGGGATATACAAAGAACTGTAAACTAAATCATATGTCCCCACAGATTGCCGTGCTGCAATTCATAATAGCTAAGCAATCACAGCAGTTGCCTGGTCATTGTATTTCTTACTGAAGTTAAAGGACAAACTCTTTCCTCTTTACACATTACAATCATTTTCACTGCAACCTGACCTCTCCAAGTTATGGAAACATACTTCCTCATATATTATGGCTGCTAATTATAGCTAATTCAGATTTTAAGCTACTTAAGCATTCCTCTATATGAAAAGCTAGGGCAAAATATCTTAAACAGAACCTAATGGCTGCTTATTAGAACAGCCCATTAACTCATTGTGAAATCAGTGGAGGTCCTCATACAGTCAAACCAGCAGTGTCATTGCACAAAAAGCAGGTATGAACAAGCTCAGGTTTCCAAATTCACGAGGAAAAAAAAGTCTTTTTGTAAAGAGGAAATGAAGCTCAGGGAAGAAACCATTCAAAAATATCCAATGAGAATCAAACATGCATAATACAACACAGCATGTTGGTTGATTCTTAAAAGGGAAAGAGTGAAGGGAACCTAGAAACTGAATGGAATATTTAGAAAAGAATATGGTTCATTGACGGCACCCTAAACAGGATCAATCTGAGCTGCAGCATTTCATGGCAAGCCCATTTATTTGTAAATATTAAGAATAAATCAATTAAATGTAACATTGTTGTTCAGAAGAATGCAATCCTGTAATTCTGAATGCTGAGACCTTCCACAATATAGTGATTGTGTGATATAGAAAGCTGGATTAAATGGACCAGCTGATCTCTTTATTCAATTTACCTTTGATAAATGTGCAAGTCACAGTGACAAGGAAGCAATTTCAAATGTCACCATGTTCTTGTGCTGAAAATTATTTGATTATATTTTCTTGGGCTAGTTAATACTTACTAGTAGTAGCTGCCTTAACTTGGAACAGACCAAGTTAGGTTGACAGAGATTGGATTTATGTAACATGAATTACCTATGATTTGCTAAAAAAAATGCAGTTGGTTGGGCTTATATGCTAGGCCATACAAATCATGGTTTACTAATTACAACCATTGGGTTGCACAACATGCTAAAATAAAACAGTCCAATTTATGCCTTAATAAAATGAAATTGCTTTTACAGTAATTAACATATTATGGTGAAAACAAAAGGAATATTTTTTCAAGTATTATGAAGATTCAAAAAAAGAGCAGAGAGCATCCTAATAACGATAGGATTTACTTACATTCGCAAAAATATATATTTACAATCTATATTTTTACTGTTAACTAGAAAGTTAACAAAACTGAATAATCATGCTGTTATGATTTATTACATGAGCTTTTTTGCTTTACATTTCACAGAAATAATCATCTCTGTAACCTTTATGACAGGAAGGAAGGAAGGAAGGAAGGAAGGAAGGAAGGAAGGAAGGAAGGAAGGAAGGAAGGAAGGAAGGAAGGAAGGAAGGAAGGAAGGAGATTCTGTTGTTGAAATGTTTATCATGGTGTCACAATGCAAACTCAAGTTCATAAATGCATTGTGATACTGCATGCGGGTACATAAGATACATTGCAATTCTATGACACATGCTTTACTGCTTTCCTCCAGAGAAGACAAGGGCAAACCACATTCATATTGTGGCCAAATCTCCATAGTTGAACTACATGTCCATGTAGTCTCCAGAAGCCAACCCCAATTCAAATAAGTTTTAGTTTTACTCTGTGTTGTTATATTATCTAATAATTTTATAACCTGTTTCAAACCGAGGGATAAAAAAGACAATTGAGTAAATAGAAGAACAGGAAGGTTTACAAAAGTTTCAAATAGCATTCACAAATTGCCATGGCTTTTTTTCTCATAGAACGCCCAGAACAGAGTTCCGGCACCTTTTTGGGATGGAACCTTGTAGGGTAGGCAAGGCGGGTTGTATGACGTGTGTGAGTTCCAGCACCTTTTTTTTAAAAAAAAAAAAAAAAAAAAAGAAGCACTGCAAATTGCACATACTCTGTAAACATCAATACTCAATCAAAGAGATATTACTAATTAATGGCACAAGTTCAGATTCATGGATAAAAGATTCAGTTAAGTTTTACAATTCAATGGTTAATACTGTTACTAATTAGCAATCATTGCTGACTTCCTGTTTCCTTCCACACTCTGCCTAATGGACAGTAGGATATACTTCAATGTATGCTACTGTGGGAAGTCAGCCCCCCCCACAAAGAAATAAATATTTATGGGAATATTAAAAGGCAGAAGGATCTTAAAGGCAGAAACCCCTCTCAAGTCTCTCTGCCCCAAACAGAAACCAGATCTGCAGAAATGCAAGATGTGATAATCTTGTCAGAAAGATTGGAGACAGGAAGCTTGGATTAGAAAGACAAAGATCTCTAGAATGAACAATCCCTCACGCCAAAAAAATCCAACACAGGACATAGCCATCAGCCACACCCCCAGGGAAGCAGGATATGACCTTTGGGGCATAATAGGATTAACCCACCACCATCAGAATACCAGAAAGGCACATTCAGACTCAGGTTGAAGTTCATGCCACAGGAATGACTCCAAACAAGAGCCCAAGAAGGTATAAAAACCCCCACTCCCTACTACAGAGGTCTCCAACCTTTTGGGCACCAGGGACCAGTTACACGGAGAGAGGTTTTTTTCACGGACCAGAGAGGGTATGGTTTTGTGTGCTGCCTGCATCATGTAGATGGGGCTTTGCTTGTTTCTGCGGCTCGGTTGCTGGCATGCCATGGCCCAGTACCAGTCCACGGACTAGAGGTTGGGGACCCCTGCCTTACTATATGTGGTCATCTTTCCCAGAGCCATCTTTCTGTCTGGCTCTGCTCTTTAATAAACCACAACCTTCTTTCTAAAGTAGTCTCCATTTTGATTATTCCCAGCTTGGACTGGACCCTGATGAAGATTTTTCTTTCAACACTACTATACACTAGATCTCATGGAACATTTTTCATGAATAGCTAGAATTGCATATAACATCCATCATGATTGACAGATTCTTACCTTTAAAAGGATGTTAGCAGACTGTAATTTCTTTGCTTCAGTAATTGCATAGAGTTCTTCATAATCAACAGGTTTGTACTTTGAACTTTTAAGCCCATTTTTCACACGAACAACCAAATTGTCTAGTAGAGGCATAAAACAATTCAGATTGTTGAATAAAATTAAACATTACAAGAAATTTAGAACATTTGAAGCAAACAAAAATAAAAATGATAGTTTAAAAAGTGTGACATTAGGAGGAAAATTTATATTGTCTATACAGTTTGTTTTTCTAAACAAAGTTGTAGTCCATGAAAATGACTGTTACAAATACAAAATAAAAGGAAGTACTCTTTAAGATAGAAAAATGTGCAGAAGACAACCTACACAACCAAAACATTTAAATTTTAATTTTATTGCTTAAATCACTTACTTATTACTTATTACATACACTTAAACTTCATAAAGATACCCAGTTGAAACTGGGGAAAAACACAATAACAATTTGTCTTAGATCAGCAATAGGCTGATCTATTGCTGATCATAGATTACATGCAGCTGTCTTGTCCCAGTTTTGTGACACTCCCCCAAGATCTGAGGACGATAGCACCACAATTGCTCCGTTTTGATGTTATACTAGGTATAAATATAGTATATAGATATGAATATGAATATAGATAACTAGTATCCAAACATTTGGAAGTTCTACGTCGAATAAACCAAAACTGTAAAATATCTAACCCAAGGAGAGGCATTTTTGTTTTGCTTCACCTCAGTTGTATTTCTGTTTCACTTCTAGGCCCCTTATTTTAAAATAAACAACCAACCCTTACCTGTAAGAAATGTTGTATAACCCTGATTTAGATTATTAATATTTGGTTCTGCCTAAACATGTTATGTGAATAAGGTAAAAAAGTTGGATCCAGATTTATTCATACTTACTCTAAATGCACTGACACTCATCCCATTGCTTTAAATAGATTTGTGTTAAGCATTATGAAAATTCAATCCAATCAATAGTAGAACACATGCCTTAAAGAAACCCATCATACTAAAATACATTGGAAAGCATCTAATAGAAATGAAGTAGCCTACAGATAATCAGTCTTGCAAATTGGTTCTGACTAGCTCAAAGAAAATTAACTCATACCAACATATCTACTTAAGGATGTATTGCAACGAATTCTCATAAATATAATTCATGACGTTTCAGAATCTTTTTTCCAGTTTGATAATGTCAATACTATACATCTTGATATTCTGGCAAAACCCATTATTTTAGCAATCTCAGCCTTTATTTTAAGGCAGTAAATTGCCAAATATGCTAATAGACATTAGCAAACATATGTCCTTATACTCATTTTTATATACTATCCAGTCTGCATCAGCAAACAAATTATTTAAGGCTGAGTGTAATTCTAATCACATTGCTTGGAAATCAGCTCCATTGGGCACACTATTTTCCCTCCTGACTTTCTTCTTCCCTCATTTTTAAGCTATACAAAAGTACAATAAAAACATTAATGGTTCCAAGTCTTTTAAAGTACTAGATACAGCACTGAACTTTTATTACTAAAAATATTTCTCCTCCACCATAGAGCAAAAGAACTATTGGCAGTTTAGAATGCATCTGCATAAAATGCAATCAATTCAGTAGGTCAAACTTTACAAAAGATAAAACTCTACATACAGGTAATCCTTGACCTACTGCCACAATTCAACTCAAAGCTCCCATTGCTAAGCGAGACGGTTATTAACTGAATCACTACACTTGTTATGTTAGTAACATATTGTTAAGTGAATTTGGCTTCCCACTGACTTTGCCTGTGAGAAGGTCACAAAAGGTGACCACTTGACCCCAGGACACCACAACTGTAATAAATACATGCCAGTTGCCAAGTGCCCAAATTTTGACCACATTACTATGGGGATGTTGCAACATTCCTGTGAAAAACAGTCATAATTCACTTGTTTCAGTGTCATTGTAACTTCAAATGGTCACTAAATGAATGGTGGTTAAGTCAAGGACTACCTGTAATCTATGAGTAACCAAAATAATTAATCACATTGTAAGGAAAGCTAAAATACAGACATTGAAAAGAGCAATCACATTTTTTTTAAAAAAAAATTACCTATATTGCTATTTCTTTGAGTTGTAATAAATCCTTGAAGATCTCTTTCACTCATCTTATACTGTTGAAAAATAAACATATTACTTGTCAAAAAGTGACACCTTTGAATGTATTCACTTGATTCTTTTTGTAAGCGGATTTATTTATACAGGAGTTCCTTACTGATATGAAATCTATTCCAAGGACAGTTATCTTAGTTGTCTAGGGTACATACATTTTATTTTATTTTTCTAATGGATAAAGTTTATTAAAAGTTCAGCCAAATGTGATACTAAACTTCTGTAATAAAGGCTGTTGACTTTACAAAATTTCTTGTCTGATTTTATTAATATTTACTTGCCCCAAATTCTCACTGAATCCAATAAGGCTTTCAACCAAATACACATACCTAAGATCACAGCTTTAGTAATGAAGAATTCAACCATTTGAGAATAAAAATCACGAACCTTATATAAAATTTACAATGATATAAAAATCCAGATTAAATAAAAGCTATAAAGATACACAGAGAGGGGAAAAAAGTACAAAACTGAATCTTCTCATGTTCCATATTTAACACTGCACTCTTATATATGGATTCTTTTCTATTAGTGAATTTAATCACCCAATAACCTTACAAATTTTCAAAGAATTTCTTACTGTCCTCAATACCCCCATGGAGAAGTATAAGACCATACACACAAAGTTGCACTCTTAGAGACTGAGATTAATAACTTCTTGAAGACTCATTCAAGATGACTCAAAACTGCTGGAATTCCAATATTTATGAATGATTAAAATGTTACATTAATAAGAAGTAAGCAAGTAACATGTATATTGACTGATGTCCAGAAAAAATACATCCCATAATTTTTTAATAGCCTACAACGTGAGTATCCAACCTTTTGGCTTACCTGGGCTGTATTGAGTGAAGATGAATTGTTTTGAGCCGCATATAAAATATATAATACAGTTATATAACATAAAATCATATATTAATGTTAAAACTTAACAATCATGTGGATCGGCTGTCCAAGACCGCATATGCTCCTTGGGATGTGGGTTGGACACGCTTGGCTGAGAGTTTTATTTTACCTAAGTATATTCCTCCTCTTACACTTCATTCTGTACAATGGTGTATATATCATGGAGCAGTGATGGCGAACCTTTTAGAGACAGAGTGCCCCAAACAGGCCCCGCCCCTACCCTGTCTGCTCCACCCCCACCTCACCCCCAGCCCATCCTGTTCCAGTCCCTGCCCCCTGCCCCGCCTGCCCACAGGGCCACCCACTGCCTTCACAGCCCGCCACAGATTGCCCAGGCAGCCAGCAACATCATGGCAGCCACGCCCTCTGCCTGCGCCCCGCAGAATGAACTGTGCAAGACAGGGCACGAGGGCAGAGTCTTCTCCCTGCTGCCCGGCTGCCATGTTCTTTGCTGCGCTGCTCCATGTGGGCCGCGCTCAGGGGCGACTCTCCTCTAAGAGGCTGCTGGTGAGGTGGGGGCCGCAGGTGGGAGGCAGGGCTGGGGCAACGGCATGCGTGTCCCCAGAAAGGGCTCTGAGTGCTGCCTCTGGCACGCATGCCATAGATTCGCCACTGCTGTCATGGAGCAACCTATTAAAAGCTTTTTCTTATTTAAGATAATACTTAACAGCATTACCAATCCATATTTTTAACTGAAATAACAAAATCAAGGCAGCAATCCTAATATCAGCAGGATTAGAAAATTAAGAGGAAACTCCATTTTACAGCGTTGCGAGTGTTTTCTATTTGTTCTCATGTATCTTGCTTGTTTCATGTACTTCTATCCTACCTTTCTTCCAGAAGTGCAAGACACAGCATTTTCTCCTCCAGCTTTTCTTTTCGTCCAATAACCCCTTTTGAATAGTTTGGATTAAGAGAATATGACTGAGTTATCACTGAGTTTACATACCTAGATGAGGATGGATCTGAGCCTGGCTCCAATCCTAACATTTTAACAGCTACACCACATAAGCTCCTTTTACCATTTCAGTTGTGATTCTCTTGAAGTGCCAGTTAAATGAATGACTAACATGGTTAATGCAACTGCTTCTGAGCAACCTTTACAGACTAATATAGACTAAATTTAATCTAGATTAAATCAGCAATAGTCAAAAGTCAGGACAAATAAGATTGATCACAGATTAGCCTCTGTATTAAAATCATTGCGTTAAAAAGGCACAATAGACCATGTCCCATTCATTACCTTTTCCCACGTCCAGTTGATCCACACTGAGTTTTCTGTTGAGCTCTTTCAAGTAATTAGACCTAATATATCAGGCATTAATACATTAGGAAAAAGATTTGGTAACCAATTTGATAAAGGCATTATAGATTAAAACTCTACGCCTCTGATTTGCCATGATTATAGCAGATTTTAGAACCAAGATGGCTTGACCTGTTTATTATGGGCATGTTTTTCATTTATGAATTGCTCTGGGTTGTATATGATATCCTTGAAAGTATAAGATAAATCACTGGCATACCTAATCTAAATAGACAGGAAAGGTAAGTAGCCTGGCAAAAAAGATATGGCATACTTTTTCTTAAGAGAAGCTTTGGTTTCACCTGTCTTAAATTGGCTGTTATAAAACTTTGGGTGAGGAAAATAACTCATTTCTGGATTCTATCATATAGGATAATTTCTGGCCTATTCTAAATCTTTGGATTTTTTTAACAACTTACTAAGTTAGATAGAGATATCTCTGTCCCATGTTTCTTAGATAAAAAAGACTACAGGTAGTCCAAATTTAATTATTGTGTCAGCATTGTGACAAGAGAAGAAATTGTAGCCATTTTACTTTTGTTTTTCATTGTAACTTTCTACTCTATAGTTGAGGTTTTCCTCATAGACATAGGGGGGAGGGGGAGATATGAGCATTCTTAGTTAGTCATAACAATTGCTGCTCTGGTTATAATCAAGGACAATGTGAGTGAAGAATTTTGGCGGTAAAAGGGTGGGGGAGAAAAGCCCGTGTTTATCTGTAATTGGACAATGTGATGTGTGACAGCTTGGTTTGGGGTGGGAATTGCAACTTGTAACTTTGTATCAGGGGAGGGAACTTTCAGTTCTGGGTTCAACTATGTAAGTGCCAATATTTTGTTTCCAAATAAAATGTTCTTTAAGGATGAATTTCTTGCCTTGAAGTTCTTTTGACTGGTTTCATCTAACGAAACCATGACATATTGTTTGTAATTATGATGGTATGAAAGAGTAACTTTATAACCAGTCCTTCATATCCTTCACAGGTCTGTGAAGCAATGTAAAACTGTAGTAAGATCATAAGCACAATCACGGTTTTACTTAGCAACCACATTGCTTAACAACCAAGTTGCCAGTCACTCTGAAAGATAATGCAAGGAAAGCTAAGCAGAGATATCAATGTTCATTCCAAAGAGTTTTGGGGGGGGGGTTATTTTGGAGTTATTTTGAAAAGATATTGGTGTTGGGAGATGCAACAAATTTAGCAGAGGGTTTGGTATTTGTGTAGGAAATGATCAGGTGGAGCCTGAGGGCAGGTTAATGCATCATCAGTCTGGAGTCCCTATGCCTCTGAAAGAGACCAGAGTTGAGCCTCCCTTGAAGTCCATTGACTGTTATTTGGCGGCAATTTGCATTGACTGTTATGAGATCATATTCTTGAGTATAAGTAGCAGGGAATACTCGCAGTGCTTTTGAACTCTATCCTGGCTCCTGGTTTCTTGCAGCTGAAAATTCCTCAGGGATCAGTTCTCTCCCCCATGCCATTTTCACATAAAAATAGTTAGAATTTTGTAGTGTCTTATCCAAAGATACTATAATCAGTATACAATGACATGAAGCTAGGCTTTCCTAGACCTTTTCTAACTTGGCAAACCTATCCTTATGAAGCAGAAAGTTCCACCAGCTGCAGAGCCTTCCGACTGCATGATAACAGTGTAAAGGAGCAAGTTGAATTTCTCCCTTTCTCCCAATCTCTTTAAATGCTTTTACTCCCATTGCATTGGGAAGAAAATGGTTTGCATTAGCTGTTCAGCTGACGTTAATAATGTGCTAGCATGTTATTAGAGGACATACGTTAGCATGGCAATGTCATTCCAAGCATATATTCTTGCATACCATATATACTTGACATACCACAATGTTTGACACATCTCAGCCCATTCAGAAATAATCACCCTCAGAATTAGGATGTAGAAAGAGGGTTTTTTTTAATTCTGGATAAAAAAAAGAGGCCTGATTCTACCACGTTTGTAGGATATGCTTATAGCTTTCACGGGATTATATAAATAAATAAGCTCCCCCTTAAGTCTGATTAAACAGATCAGATACATTCTACAACTGTCATGTAGAGAATTGCAAAACATTACACATTTTGAAAAATTTGAATGCATGCACTTCATGAAAAGTTATCATTACTGTATAAGCCCACCAAACAAATAAATTACTCTATGTGAATTAGCTTGTTTTTATAACTCCAGTCATTTGTTAGCCAAAGGAATATCTGATTATATCAATTTAAAAAGAACTTCAGTGAAAACAACAACTATTTTGTGTGCTATTTTCCAGGGAGCCTATGCCATCATACTAAGCAAAAAGTTGCTGTCTTTTCCAGATGAAGCAGAGCAATAACTAATCTGTATTTATTGATGTATTTAAAATAGCCTCATCTGGAGCCATACTGCATGAGCCATTAGGTAGGTGCAAAAAGTAATCTTTGGTTGGGCTAGTTATCGTGAAGCTGTTAATATGGCAAAAAGATCCCCAGAGAAACGAACAAGCAGTGCATAGGCTATCTTTATATGCTAGTAATTATGCCCAATTAGAAAACAATCTGTGCAATAATTGATCTTAATTCCACTAAAAGCACTTTTAAATCCCATTCTTCTGGGCAAAGCATAATGCCATGACAGTTTAAAAGATTACAGGATGTACACTTAAGCCTCCTTGCAATCTCTGATTTTTTTCTTTTGATTTGCAAGTTGAAAAACACCTGTCTGACAATGTAACAATGAAAACTGCTGAAACTGCAAAGCACAGACTCCAGTCCTCTGTTGGCATCAGGAAGTGGAAATTCTA